TGGTTTGCTTTTTCTTCTATTTCTTGTATTTTTGGTTTGTTTTTTCTTTGATTTCTTTAAGGGATTTTCTTACATCCTCTTTGAGGGCCTCTATCATTTTCATGAAGGTGTTTTTATGGTCAGTCCCTTCTGCTTTATCTGCATTGAGGTGTTCAGGTCTTACTGGTGTAGAATCTCTAGACTCTGGTGGTGTCATATTTGTTTTTCTGTTGCTTTGTGTGTTCTTATATTTCCTCTTCCCCATCACTTCTTCCAGTGGGTGCAGAAAGAGTCTCTTCCTCTCCTGGTGGGTAGGCGACCAGAGTTCCCTTTCAGTGGGTGCATGCAAATCCAATACTCTCTAGCCTCTGGTCTCTGTCCTCTGCTCTCTGCCCTGAGTGTGGGAGGAAGTGGACCAGCTCTCTCTCTCAGGCTCCTGGTCATCCCTCTGGGGGTGAGTCGACCTGGCTTCAATCCCCAAGCCAGGGAATACGAGACAGGGCAAGCTGGAGGAATTCGGGTTTATGATGGGGACCAAGTGCTCACCTCTGCCCTCTATCCTGAGTGTGGGTGGTGGCGGCTTACTCTTAAATATGCAAATAAGTGTGTAGAGTGGGATATTAAACAATGGAAAAAATTACAGTACATTCTAGAAGAGAGAATGCAGTTGGGGAATATGTACCTGACTGAACAAGAGCAAGGAGGTGAATCTTCAGTTTTGTAGGTGGGGAATATTGGTAAGAATTAGATCTATCTCACCAGATTCCTGAACCATGCATGCTTAAGAGGAGTGTGTGTAGGTGTACATGCATGAATTTGTGCATGGTTGTGCAAACACTCCTGTGCATGTGTGTATATGTGAATCTGATGAGTATGTGAGTTTGAAGTCCCACGTTACTAACTTACCATCTTCATTACCCAACCACAAGTGAGGTGAGGGTCTTATTAACTAAAGAATTTGAACTAGAAATCTTTCACACTGACCTCAACAATAGAGTAAAGACAAGAATGAGTCAGAACACCAAAAGGCTAAATTCTATAATGAACCATGAGGCTCCTACATGACCCTCTCACCCCCACACTTGGAAAATGCTTGTATCCAGGTGAACATCATTTACCACGTAAAAACGAAAGTGTTCCTTTTGGATAAAAGGAAATATATCTGGGTAAACAATCACAATATATTAGCATTAGAAGAGCCTTGGGGAAAACTCCCAACTAATGCTGACCAGTGAGGCATGCCCATTCACTAATCATGCCAACACCGACAATGCTTTCCACATTGAAAGCAAAACAGAAAGAATATCAGCTATTGTTACATGTGATAAGGGAATAATGTGGGGTTTGGAATTTCCATCAACAATAGCTTTCCTGTAACTACCTTAAAGCTTCCACTTGGAAGTTTGTTTGGTGTTGTCTCATCAACCCTGCATGTGCCTTCCTTTCAGGGTTAAATAGTCCCAAAGAGAAATGGCAGGTGTCTAAGCCTGCTTTGTTGTTGCTGTTCTGTTTAAGTCAGCAACACTACTTAAACAATAAAGTAATTGTCAATAGCAATTTGGTAAAATTTTATTTAATGATAAAATTCCAGAAGAAACAATATCCCATTACTGGGATTTATTTTGAGGAAATCAATAAAAATGTTTTCTTATCAATTAATTAAAGGGATATAATAATGTGGTTGTGATAATGTCTGTTGCTTCTTTTGCTGAACCCTCAACAAAGAAAATTATATGTAGGTGAATTAGTCTATTTTTGAGATTTCTTTATTATTTTTAATTTCATGTCTGTGAGTGTTTGATGGCATGTATGTATATGCACTATGTATACACAGTGCTCATAGAGGCCAGAAGAAGTTATTTGATCCCCTGGAACTGGTGTTACAGACAATTGTGAGCTTCCGTGTATGTTCTGGGGATCAAATCCAAGTCCTCTGCAAGAGAAAAAGTGCTTCTAAGTGCTGAGCCATCTCTCCAGCCTTAGATAGATGCATTTACGCAAATGCAGATGCGTTTAGTAATTTGAATATATTCAAAGTGGAGAATGTACTTCACTCGCCTGTCTACCTCAAACCATAGCTCAGCAGCACAGCACACTGCAGATCTGGCTTCTTACTCTCATGATCATGTGACTGATGGAGCCCCGCGTCTCCTGCTGCCCTCCAACACCACAAATGAGCATAGTGCATCTGAGCCCAGAAAAGATCAAACTGGGAAATTCCACTGTGCTCAACTGTTTTTCTGCTACTGTGATAAATATCATAATCAAAAGTGATGAGGAAGAAAGGGTTTTTTCAGTTTTCAGGTTCCAATCTAAAATCAAGAAAGTCAAGGGAAGAACTCAAAGCCACAGATTACAGCAGTAACTATGGAGAAATGCTCTGTACTGGCTTGCTCTTAGGCTCACATTCAGCCACCCTTTCTTTTGCAATCCAAGCCAACCCACTGAAGGATGGCACCACCCATGGTTGTCTGGACTTTTCTATTTAAATTTGTAATTAAGAAAATGTCTCACAACTAATGGGATGGAAGCAATTCCTCATCTGGTATTCCATTTTCCCAGATATATCTAGTTAACAACCAATATTAGAAAGCAAACCAGTGGGTGCCAAAGAACTGCAGTTTTGAACCATGAATTTTAAATCATTATGACTAGTCTCAAATATATTGTCGTTAAGTAAAAGGAGAACCACTGCAGTCAGCACATTTTGTCAATGAGAAATAAGCTTGCTTATTTCTTGGCATGGAAATCCATGCTTCAGGATTTGGCAGACTCTTGTAAACCATTTCTTCATCCTGTTGATTGTGGAGGTGTTTTTCTTGTAAAAGTTGCTGAAATGTTAGAAGAAATAGTAGTTGGTTGGAAAGAGGGTCAGTGAACATCACAGATGAGGCAAAACTTGATAGTGCCAATTGTTGAACTTTTAGAATATTGACTGCAATGTGCGATCAAGCGTGGTTTTGCATTGTGCCCTTTCTGATGAGTTATGGTGGCTGCAAACATTGCTGATTTTGGTACCTGTAACCAGTTTGTTGAGCATACTTCTCATAGGTAACAATTTCTCTAGAACTCAGAAAATCATAGTGGATGAGACTGGAGAAGACTACCAAACAGCAGCAATAACATTTTTGGTGCTATTTGGCTTGGGAAAGTGATTTGGTGCTCTTCACTGGTCATCAACTCTTATTTGTCCCGCATCACAGTCCGGTTGAGGAATAGAAGATGAAAGTTCAAGGGGACATTTAAATTACTACAGACCTACTTATCGAACTTTTTGCCTCTTCAATTTGATCAAATGTTGAGGGAACATTGAATTAGATCTACTTGTTAATTTATCATGTACTTGCAAAAGCAGCTTAGATGCTTTCTCTCAATTGGAAATCACCAACTCCTAATGGCTGGTTGGTTACTAAGCTCCTCATCTTCAAGGCTCTTCTCTTACAAAACCCCTTAAATAACTGTGTCCCATATGCTTGCTAGAAGTTCCTGTGCCAAATGGATTGCTGAAGATGTAAGTTGTCTTCACTGCTTTATAGCCCATTTTGGCCATGAATAAAAAAATCACCGGCATTTATTTTTGTCTAATATTATTTCCAAAATATAAAATTTAAAGATAATAAGGATCATTACCAAAGAAAAGTAGGAAATGCACATTAAATGGTGTAACATAGCTATATTTATTAAAATATATGTTCACATGTTAGATAACATTTTAGCAACATTAAAAATTTCAATTAGTTTGTCACCAACCTATATTGAGATAGTTTCTATAAGATATATACATTCACCTTAATGTATATCACCTCCCCACTATCATAAAGTCAAAACTCTGTTAGGTTGGGAGCTTTGTCTGTCACACATACATATACATGCATACATATAAATGGATGTATGGATATATATGTGAACATTCTATTTAACCAAGTAAGAAAATGAAAACATGTTTTTCATGTTTTCTTTAAAAATTATCTACCACATGTGACTCAATAGTTAACACACAGAGAACAAAATAAAATGTCTGTGTTCTCCCTAGAAGCCTGGTAGTCAGTGTCTTGATTGTTTCTTTTAATAGGGCTGAATATAGTATTCAAAGTTAGTAGTTGTGAATTAAGGGCATGGTACATTATAATGTATGATAACTTCAAGTCTGTTTGTCTTTAAGGGACATACTTTGTTACTTGAAAAAAGGAAAAGCAGTGTTACAATACTGTAGAACTTTCATAGTCAATGAAAAGAAATAAACACCTTGCTCATTATCTAATGAAAATTAAATTCTGCATATGTGGATATGTATATTGTGAAATGTTTTTTGTTTCCTTATGTTTTTACCAAGACCAATATTTTGAACTTGAGATTGAAGTAGAAGAGTAATGGGGCTATGTTTTGGTATATATCATCTAGAAAGATTAATTTTTCTAAGAGAATGAAAATAAAGCTAAATCTCATGTAATTCGGTGTCATCATAACTTACCAGGAAGTCAATACTAAGAACTTATATTCAAGAGTTGAATGTGGTAAAATTTATTCAGAAAATATTCATTGATTTATAATCAAAGGTTTTGGAAATTATCTCCACTTTCTCCATTATAAACGACCAAGGAAGTCCACTTTCATTTTGATAAATCACTGCTGTCCATCTGAATGGACAGCACTGCTGAAATCTGAGCTCATCTGTGCTGGACACCCCTCTAGATAAGAGCATAATATAGTACTACAGCCTACCCACTAGTTTACATATCCTGTCCTTTAATAATACCATATCAGATGATTACAAAAAAGGAGAGAATGAAAATAAAAACTACACAGAAAATGCAGACATGACTACTCCTGTATTTCTTTTGTTATTTTTATAATAACTTTTTATTTGACTTTTTACACGTTACTCCCAGTTCCCTCTCCCTCCCCTTAAACTCATTGAGAGTAGCTATGACTGAGACATCACATTTCACAGAGTTGCAATTGGATTTCTTCCCTAGCTACCTTCAGTCTCCCCACAATAGTTATTTGTTTTCTTCCGATAGTAAGATATTTCCCAAAGGCCTTCCTGAGGAGTACTCTGTAGCAGTCGTATTTCGAGTACGAAGAAGCACCAAGAAGGAGCGGTGGTTTTTATGGAAGATTTTAAACCAGCAGAATATACCACAGGTAAGATGCCAATATGTTTGACTAGGTCAGGTGGTTCTCTGTTCCATGTAACCAAATCTGGGAACAGATGTAGTTAGTATTCAAGTAGTATGTTGTTTAGAGGCATCATGAATAGAGAAATGCAAACATTGTAAGTAGGGTAACCTTGATGGTATCAGTGATGTGAGTGGACGAGAGGTTTGTTTTGTCTTGTCTTAAAGATTTATTTTTATTTTATGTACACAAGTGTTTGAACATATATATATATATATATATATATATATATATATATATGCATATATGGTGACCAGAGAGGTCATAAGAGAGCTCAGGGTCCCCAGAAACTGGAGTCATAAGCAATTTTGCGCTATCAAGGGGGTGCTGAGAATTGAATCCAGGTCCTCTGCAAGAACAGTCAGTGCTCTGAAACACTGAGCCATGCGTCCAACCCTGTTTTTATTTAAACGTAGAGATTCATATTTTATCTGAAGACAATGTAACTGCCTTCCTTTTACAGCTACTTATTGAATAACTTCATGCCATTTATTGACTTCACTTCCTCTCACCACTGGCATCATATATTAGTCTGACACCTAAATATGTGTTTCATCAATAAAAACAAATATGGGCCACATGTTTTATACCAAGAAGTGATAAGAACATTAAATTTAGCGCTGGGGAGATAGCTCGGTGTGATTTCAATGAGGACTGAGGTTCAGATCCCTAGCACCCATCTAAATGCCACCTGTAAGTCCAGGACTTGCAAGGTAGGAGATGGGATCTCCAGGGCAAGTTAGCTAGCTAGTAAGACTAATCAAATCATTGAGCTCTGCGTTCAAGGGAGAGGCGTGGCCTCCATACAGAAAGTAAAGAACACTTGAAGAAGACACCCGATGTCAACTTCTGGCTCCCACATTCTTGTGCACATAGGTGCATCATACTCGCACACATACACGCAAACACACACACACACACACACACATACACATTCGTATTACACGTATGGGGACACATATACCCTAACATAACACACACACAGACACATGCCAAAAAGAAAACAAGAGATTTTAAAAAGCCTCATTCATGTTCTTATGGAGCAGAAAGTCCATAACGGGAGAACACCTATGAGAACTTATGGAGCATAGTTATAATACTGGTGGAAGTGTGATGGGAGATGTCTGAGCGTAGAAAGAGTTGAGAATCCAGGAGACCTTGTGAAAATGACAGTGGAGTAGAAGTGGTCATGCAAGCATCCCACAGACCTCAAAATTACTTATTAACATCACACATGTGTGTTCACTTCTATACACAACCATCGGATGCCTTTAGCTTTGGCCCGATCTTCTTACTATTAATATAGGTCACAATTTTATGATAATCATTTAGAATGAAATGCATGTCATCTATGAAATATCTCTCTTTGCCATGAAAATTATTAAGGGCTTAAAAGGTCCATGTCAGTTCTCATGTAAAAAGAAATGCACGATTATAAATCTTGCTGTGTGCATACTCATATAGAACAATAATACATATGTTTTGGTATGTAATAATACTATTCACAAGTAAAATTTAAAACAATAAACTTCATTAAAAAATCATCATCCTTTTGTGAATTCACAACACAATTACATAGTTATTATTGAATTTATAAATGTAAAATAACCATTTATATTTGTACACACACACACGCACTCACACACACATGCACACATATACACACATGCACGCATACACACACATACACACACACACACTCACACACCCTTATATGTTCTTTTGAGGAGGAGCGGATTACACGGGATGCTTCATGATAATGCACTTACAGCAAGGTGCTTGTCTTTTGTATCCAACTGTGTCAACAGGCACAGGTCTTTCTCAAATGTTTAGCCAGTTCTCAGGTTACTCTGGTATATACACGGGACTTTGGTTTGAATGCTTCACTAATTTTGAACACTGAGTCCCAAGCCATGTAAATGCTTTGTTCATCTTTCTTGTTTTTTTTCAGCTTTCTATAGTGATTGATGGCACAAAGAAGGTGGTAGAATTTATGTTCCGAGGCGCCGGGGGAGATTTGTTGAACTATGTTTTTAAGAATCGAGAACTCCGTCCTCTTTTCGATCGTCAGTGGCATAAACTTGGCATTGGTGTGCAATCCCGAGTCCTTTCTCTCTATATGGATTGTAATTTAATTGCAAGTCGGCACACAGAAGAAAAGGAATCTGCGGATTTTCACGGAAAGACAGTTATTGCTGCGCGAGCTTCAGATGGCAAACCTGTGGATGTAAGTGTAACAATAATGCTAAGAGGGCGCTTCATCATCTTCAGGTTAGAGCAAAATATCGTATCAAGAGTGGCCTCTTTGGGCTGGAGATGCAGCTCCTTAGGTAGAGAGCTTGCATAGCCTGCATGGCACATGGGGATTCATCTCCAGCACCATATAAATCAAGCATGGTGGTTCACGGTGTGCCCTTCCAACCCCAGAACTAGAAAGGAAAGGCAAGAGGATCAGAAGTTCAGTTTATTCTCAGCCACATAGTGAGTATAATGTCAACTGGGCTACATAAGACCCAGTGAAATAAGTAACTAACTAAATAAATAAAGGATGGAGGGAAGAAGGAAGGAAAGAAAGAAGAGTAGAGAGTTGGAAGGAAGGAAGGAAGGAAGGAAGGAAAGAAGGGAAGGAGGGAGGGAGGGATGAATGGAGGAAGGAAAACAAAAAGAAATAAAGAGAAAGAGAAAGAATGAAGGAAAGAAGGAAGAAAGAAAGAAGAGAGAAAAGGGAAGGAAAGAAGGAAGGAAGGAAGGAAGAAAGAAAGAAAGAAAGAAAGAAAGAAAGAAAGAAAGAAAGGAGGAAGGAATGAAGGAACCTATTTCTCCCTTTAATGATTACACACACAAAAGACCTCCCTCTCATCAATGTTTATACTGTCATCAGATATATGAAGAATATTTATTCCCAAGTCTATTTTCATATATAATTATATTTGACTTTCAACCACATTTTCTAGTCAGCAAATTTAAAATAATTGGGTCATGCTTTTAAAAGCTAGGATTATTAAGAGTAACTTTTAGTAAAAAAAAATGAAAATAGGACACAAATGAAATATAAGCTTGGCCAAACCTTTATGTTTTACATAAAAAGATTAGAACAAGATGAACTTTAAATGGTTCCAGACTATCTGATGTTTTTACTCAAGAACAATAGGCAATTCATCCAAGCAATTCTATTGCATTTTCTGCAACTTATAATGTCTTTCTAGAGTTCCTTTGGACAGAAATACAGTCATTAAATATATCAGTGGCTCACATGGATGAGGAAACAGCTAGAAAACTCAGGTGAAGCTAAAATGGTATAGATTTTCTTGAAAATAAGACCTGTGATGTTTAAAAAGTGAGATCTGACTAAATATTTTCTTATGGGTAAAATGATGAGAAAGTCTTAAAAAATCTGAATGTAGATTACAGGAATAAGTGCCAACACTGTAAGCACAAAGTGCTGACAATGAAATTGCATTTCAGAAATAAAATTCTGTGCAAATACACATTTAGGAGAAAAATATCTAGATACCGATACATAGTCAAGGAAATATGATTTTGAAAGCCTTTTTCTCTTTGAGACTGTGTGTGAGCAGATCAGAAATACAGGACTGTCAAGACCTGTGGTCAGAAATAACCAGGAGTACAGGTACAGGCAGAACAGGGCAGCCTGTCCTGGGGATGGGTTGGGACCACAGGGTGAGTACACTGGCTTGAGTCAGAGAATCCCAGTGTGGACACATAAATTTGTTAGTATCTTTGCTTACAAAATAGATTTGGTGGAGTTGCTCATTGTAATAGCGTAGGATTTGTACCATGGTTCAAGAGGGGGTTCTTGCAATGGTACTGGAGAATGGCATCAGTATCTCCATGTATTTTTTTAAAGATACAGCCTACATATTTTAGCTGGATACAACATTTATTTTCATTTACAGTTCAAAATTATGTTGTAAAGATATTAATAATAAACAAATAAGCATGTTACTGTCCATCCAATCACTTGAAAACATGTTTATTGCAAATGTAGTGCTCAGTAGATTTAGTTATACTATGTGTGAGTGTTTTGCTTGCACATACATAATATGCACCATGTCCATTCCCTGTGACTTTAACAGCCAGAAGGAGGCCTCGGATCCCCTGCCACTGCAGTTGAAGATGGTTATAAGCTGCCATGAGTGCTAGAAACAACAGGTGCCCTGTAAAAGTCACCTAGTGCTCTTAACTTCTGATATCTGACTCAACCTCTAAAGTATAGTCTTAATGTTTCTCTTTCTGGTTGGTGAATTTGATATTTATTGTCTTTCGGTCAGGTACATACTGTATTCCTAACAACAGTTGCGCGAAAACTTCAGCATCTATTCTTTAAATTCGAATCATGGGTGGTCTTTCAGGAGCCAGATTCCTGAAGGAAACTAGCTTTCCTGCCATTAGCCACCAGTAGTTCCTGATCTAGTGGTGGGGCTTCATTGGGCAGTTAGAATCCCTGTGAGTTCATGTATGCAGCAGCCCCACCATTCTAGAACATAAGTCACAGCACTCCTCCCCAACCTGTGGTTCCCACCATATTTCTGCCACTTGTTTCATGATCATCCCTGAGTCTTGGGACACGTTTGGTTTAGATGTCACATTTAGGGATTAGCACTCCATACTCATTTGTTTTCTACATTTTACCTGTCATGATTCTCTTATGAACCATTATCTGCCAAAAGGGTATGCACTCATCTATGACTATAAATATAAGTATCAAATATTAAATCATAATCCTTTAGAAATGATAATGTATCTTTAGTTAAGTGACACATACACAGTGCTGAGCACAGAGTGACATGTGATATGATTTCCATTACATGGTGCATATGTGTGTGGGGTTAGTGTGTAGTGTATTTATATGTGATGAATGCATGTGAGAGTGCAGAGGGGTTTGCTGTGCAGGTACATGTGAGGGCAGAACAGGAATTCTTCTGCAATCATTTCCTGTCCTGAGATAAAATCAGGGCAGATCTTGTCGCACATAGGTCTTGTTTCAGGTAGGCTTGCTGGGCAGTGAGCAGTCAGGGCTACCTGTCTCTACCTGTGACAGAAGGACTACGTAAAGGCAAGCACAACCATGTTAGATTTTTTTCCCCGTGGGAACTGGGAATTAGAACTCAGGAGGTCACAATGGCAGAGCAGAGGCTCTTAACACTGAGTCCTCCTGTCAGCCCGTCTTACCATTATTTTGATAACAGTGATTGAATAAACTTCAGTTGTAAGCAACACTGGTTAATTATAATTTTCCATATTAATTTTGCATAATTTGTATTCTATCACCAAATACTTCATTAGACTAAGTAAGGTACTTAAACTTTTCCAGTGAAAACTCATCTCGATAGCCTTTGTAAAATGCCGCTAAATATAAATTGCCAAATCTCATCTACTTGCACATTTTTGTGTCACCCACAGACCTGAGGGTGCTCATGAATCCGCAAGTTCTCTAGAATACCCAGTGCCTTCTATGACCTGATAAATTTTGTTCATCTCAGTCCAGTGAGCACTGTAACACCCCTCCTGATTTCGGCTGTGTGTATAGGATGGGGAAAGTGAGAGATTCACAATTAGCTAGCCAGATGTCTGTTTTCTATGACCACAGATAAACTCCGACAATGTCATAATTTGATTTTTCTATACAAAATACCTATTTATTAGCTTCAAAGTAACTCCAAATTAATTTCAAATTAATGCATAACCAAGATCTGTCACACTGGCAATAAGGAACCATAAAGAAGGGGAAAGAAGAAAGGGGTGAACAAAGAGGTGGAGAGTATTAAATCTGACTCATGCTATGTAACAAGTCTGTGTGTACTTGTTTGTTGACTATATCCCTAAATTTACAACCGTATGCTAATTTAAAAGCTCCAGTCAGTGCCTGCTGCTATACAGTATTCCTTAATATTTCAGTGTCTAGGAATTAAAGGAGCTGACTTAAGCATTTACCGTATTGATGGTTTATCAATAGTAAGTACTGATTACCATTTCCTAGACGGTTGTTCTGATCTCTCCATTAGAGGTATGGTTATCATTTACATGAAGTACTTCCATCTGTCTAAATGCCAAAAACAAACAAACAAAAAACAAAACAACAATGAATCTTCTGCGAATAGAAGAATCATTTGTTAAAACAGAAACAAAAACTGTGAATCATTTGGTTTAGTGCTATTGACACAGGATTGCTCTGGGCAGTCCAGACTGCTCTGGAACACTATGTATAACTCAAGTTAGTCGCAAGGTAACACTCTGCTTCCAGCAAAGCCACCCAGTGCCACTCGGTTCAGTTTTCAAGTCTTGTTCAGGATTGTACTAATATAAAATCAGTGGGTCTTATTAAACACAGTAAAAACTAAATTTCTTCTTTGACTTTACTGGCACACTTACTTCATACCTCAAATAGGACATTTGGACCTAAGGAGAAAGCCTTTTCCATTTAATGTTCACACCTTTGACCTCCTTCCTGTAAAGCTTTACTTTTAAGTGTCATTTTGGATAGTATTATATTGTAGTACATAGCAATATATCTCTAATTAGATATTTGTCTTTATAGTTCCTTAATTCAACATTTCATTTTTATTGCTTGAGACAGTCAGCTAACTGTTTCATTAACTCATTTCCTGTCTGGATATCTTCCTGTGTAGCTGACTGGTTCTCAAATGATCCTTAAAGTAATAAATCATAAATTGAAATTAAACACTATAAGCATGTACCTATCATTTATATTAATTTTCCTTTCATTTCTATATAAATTGCTATAGCTCATAATGCCTAATTTTGATTCTCAAAGCCAATGATGTATGTTACTGCTTACTTTTCACAGATTGAACTTCACCAACTCATAATCTCCTGCAATGCAAACTTTTTAGCTGAAGAATCATGTTGTGACATAGCAACTCCTAAGGTAGGCTAATTTTCTCGCAAAGTGAAACACAAACAAATGCTAGTTATCTTTTAATTCATGGTCTGTAGATTCTATGTGTGGGGCACTATGAAGTATCTCAGCTGAATCTAGGTGGATAATTTATTCCCAGTAGGGAGCCCTTCTAAGTACCTGCCCGAACTTCAACCACCGGGGTGTATACTGAGATTTGATGATGATTTGTTCTCCTGTTGGACTCAATAGAACTCGAAGAAGATTTTCATCTTCCCCGTTTCACCTGAGGCACCAGCTAATAGGAGGTGCTGGCCACATTAAAGTCAGGCCTTTCTCCTTGAGATTAGTCAATCCATATGTCTTGTCTAGTTTTGCTTTGTGACACATTCCATTCCTTTTTTCTTTTCCCCATCATTGCCAAGTCCACTTTTCCGTTCTGCCTAGCTTAAACAGCATGATGCCAAATGCCTTTCTAACACATGCCCTTTTCCTTGACATATCAAAAGAATGGTACTGATCTCTAAATCACTGAATTATATGTTCATTTGTTTCCTTATAGTAAATGTGTGCTTTTAACCATGGATCTAGTAGACACTGAACTAAGGAAAAAGACTGACTGACATGAACAGAGTCCCCATCTAACCATCTTTTACTCAGAGTCCTAAGTGATTCCCTGTTAACAACAAAATAACAACCACCTTGATTAGTCTCCCTTGTTAAATATTCTCTACCTCGCTGAATAACCATTACTCCCATATCCACGTACTTCATTCCAAGAAAAAAAATCAGTGTTTCCTGCATCTCACTGTAACAGTGGTCCATACCGTTGCATTTTATAAATGTAACATTTGCTTTTACTTGACTGAAGTACAAATTAGACAGCAACAGAGGATTTACTTTCAAATTCATTTACACCTAGCACATTGTTAGCAAATAATTGTCAAAGCATGCATTAGTTTGTTTTCCACTGCTCTGATAAAATACCACGAGCAAAGGTGACTTATGGGAGAAATCATGTTTTATTTTTTTAGCTTATGGTTCCAAAGAAAGAGTCCATAGTGGCGGTGGGGGAGGGTATGCCTGGCTGAAGGCAGGTAGAGCAGGGAGTTGAGCGATCACATCTTCAGTCTCACACACGAAGTGGAGAGAATGAACAGAAAGCAGGGCAAGGCTTTGAACCCTTAAAGCCCTGTGCTGTAAGGTACTTCCTCCAGCAAGGCAGCACCACCACCTCCTCAAACATCACCACATACTGGGGACCAAGTGTCAAATGATTCTAGCCCTTCAGGATCATTTCTCTTTCAAATCACCATACACCAGAACCTCTTGCTGATTTGTTAACTACGAAGTAAAGGCTGTGAAAGGAATAACCCTAAAAACTTCACCAAAAGAACACCGGAAAAAAACATAAGCCCAAGATTTAAAGTTCTGTTTCTTTGGGTCTTAAATTTCCCCAAATATCTATGCTTGCTCCGGAGTCTATATGAAACTTTAATCAGTAATTGTTAATTCAAAAACTCAAATAACTTCTCCCATGCAGTTTGAGTAGTAGAGTGAAAATCTCGCCAAATAACTCCACGTCTTTCAAATACTATGTCTTGCTTATATAACTTGGCCATACAAAGCACATCTCAAACCCAGTTTATGGATCTCATTCCAAGAGAAGTGAAAGCTTGCCAAATATCTTTCTATAAATACCTAAAAAGATAGCTTGAATGCCAATCTAAAGACTTGGAATACCAAGGCTGCCTGAGCCTATACCTTTAATCATGAAAGTTTTATTATCCCAATAGTTTGTTTTAAGGGAGGCCTGGGCAATCTGTGGGGCCTCTGGTAGTGGATCAGTATTTATCCCTAGCATAGGAATTGACTTTGGGAGCCCATTCCACTTGGAGGGATATTCTTTCCACCTAGACACCCGGGGGAGGTCCTAGGCCCTTATCCAAATGATATTACAGACTTTGAAGATCCCTCATGGAAGGCCTCACCCTCCTTGGGGAGCAGAAAAGGATGGGGCAGGGGAGGAGGGGAAGGAGAGGGAACTGGGATTCACTTGTAAAACAAGCTTGTTTCTAATTTAAATTAAAAAAGACATTATGATTGTATCATATTAGGGATCCTAAAATAACCATTTTCTTCCATTTAAAAGTAATATGTGATGTTTTGATATCTGTAAATGTAATATTCTTGCCCGGGCGGTGGTGGCACACGCCTTTAATCCCAGCACTCAGGAGGCAGAGGCAGGCGGATCTCTGTGAGTTTGAGGCCAAGCTGGACCGACAGCCTCCAAAACAATACAGAGAAACCCTGTCTCGTAAAAACCAAAAATAAATAAATAAATAAAAGTGTTAGAGTTCTATTAAAGAACAATTTATGAATTCTTATTTTAGAAAGTAAATACAAGAAGTAAATAAATATCAGACACAAGAACAAATATAGATAATCCGTCATGGTCTCACACCATAGAAGAAAACCACTGAGAATCTTTTATATACATAACTTGAAAAGTGTTTGTCCACTCATGTATAATTTGTAGCGTACAAAGCAACTGGTGTGTGCTTCCACCTGTTGTTTACCCTTCACTGAAGCTGAAAATAAAGAGTTAATCACAGGACCAGTGTGCTATCGGGTGTCAAGAAGAGTCATTGTGTTTAGAATCGCCTCGTGAATTTTTTTCCTCTATATTATGAAATATTTATTTTAGTTAGGTATGTATATGTGATGTGTGGGCATGCATGCATGTGTGCATACGTGCGTGCGTGCATGTGTGTGTGTGTATGTGTGTTTCTGTGTAGATATCTGCATATCGGCTTTGGGGACAGTTGCAGAAGATTAGAAAAGCGCATCAGAGGCTAGAGCTGAGATTAAGTCCCCAGATATAGGTGCTGAGAACGGAACTTGGGTTCTCTGCAAAAGCAGTCATGGATTTTAATTGCTGTCTCTCCTGCCCCTTGAACTCAACTGGTGGTAGTTGGGGGGAGGATTCTGTCAATTTATAATCAAACTTTATGTTCTTCAGTGTGCTCAGTATCCTCCATTTTTACATTGTTTTTGGAGGACAATGGAGAAGAATAGTATATACTTTGATTAAATAATTGTAATCTTAGAGTGCAAAAAGACATCATTTTCAGCTTTACTAACAGTTATAACCAGCTTGTTGTTGTACCTATATTTTACCAATTAAATGTATATGATTTTAAACTTTTGTTTGCCAGATACTATTCACATTTTCCTTATGTAAAGTCTTTTATGTCATTAATTTAAATGTACAATATTATTATACTTATCATAAGGTCACTAATGTAATTAGAATTTTTCACTAAAATAATCTGTTTTCATATACTCTTTGTGTGTTGTTAGTGTGATTAAATATGCTGGAGTTTTAGTGATAGAGCAAAAGTGTGATAATTTTTCATTCATGGATGACAGAGCTTGGTTAATAAGAAACAAGTATGATTGGCAAGCAACTATCTCTGGTTTGATGGGAGCTAGCTTCAAGAACTGACATCATTTTCTAAATTCTCTTTGGGGATTTTAGTGTTCTGAACAAGACAACTTTGGAAGTACTACCCCATCCTGGGTGACCTCTCACACTGGTAGAATATCTTCATATCTGCCGGGAAACCAGGAACTTAAAGACCCGTGCCAGTGCATTCCGAACAAGGTATGCTAGCTTTCATATGTACACAATGAAGGTCACTCCTCACAGTGCTCTGGACTCCTTGACTGAGGCCTGTGGTCTACAGAAGGTTCTTTTTCCTCCAACTCTCACAAACAAACAATCACCAAAGCAGGTCAGAAAAAATGAATCTAAGATTCATTGCTTGGATTTTTGCTTTCCTTTTTTGAGGTATTATCATCATATTTTTTTACTTCCTGACCACAATTTCCCTTCCCTCCTCTCCTTCCAGTTCTCTAATTCCCCTCCCCCCACCTCTCCTCTGCCCCATCCCCCATCCATTCAGTTTCAGAAAAGGGCAGGCTTCCCAGGAATGCCAATCAAACATGGCATATGAAATTGCAGTAAGACTAGGCATCTCTCCTCATGTTAAGGTTGGACAAGACAAACCAGAAGTGAGAAACAGGATCTCCAAGGTCATCAAAAGAGTGTGAGACAGCCCCTGCTCTCACTGTTAGGAGTCCTAAGAAGACCAAGCTACACAACTATAACATATATGCAAAGGGCCAAGGTCAGACCCTTGCAGGCTCCCTGTTTGTTATTCGGTCTCTGTGAGCCCCTATGAGCCAGTTAGTTGATTCTGATGTCCTTGGCCCCTCTGGCTCTTACAATCCTTCCCCCAACTCTTCCTCAGGGTTCCCCAGCTCTGTCTAATGTTTGGCTGTGGGTCTCTTTTGCTTTCCTGCCAATGAATGAAAGTTACAATTAACAGAAAATGTTGAGGATAAAAACGCTGTATGACAGGGAAGTATGAAGTATATATAAATGCTAGGAACAGGCTACAGTTCAGGGAGAGTGTGTACACAGTACACGCTAGGAACTGGCTGCAGTTTGAGAATTTGGTGCTGGAGGAAAAGTGCCAGATTTTCAACAAAGACAGAAAAACACTCTGCATAGTACTTCCCCCTTTCTGTCTGATCACTATATTTGTGCAGCATCCACACATTTCAAACCAGCCTCCTCTTTTCTATTAATTAATTGTCTCTGTGAGGCATATTCAATTAATTAGCTTCATCTAAACCTTTATTTCTTTGATTGGTGATGCTGGGCCGGCAGACCTCCATGAAAATCCTTTTTATGCTCATGGAAGTCATTAGGTCTGTTTTAAAAACAGGCAGGTAAATAAGTGATAGGTAGATTTGTAGGTAGGTATGCAGGTAGACTATATATAGATGATATATGGATGGATGGATAGATAGATAGATAGATAGATAGATAGATAGATAGATAGATAGATAGATAGGCAGGCAGGCAGATTTGGCTTCAGAACAATGGAAGAGAGTGATTTTGACACAGGCATTCATTTTTTTCCCTCAGGAGGAAGCGGGATCACCAAGAACTCCTGGTTACAATGGGAATAAAGGGGACAAAGGAGAACCGGTAATGTGCACACAACTAATACTCTTGGGATAAAGGGATCAGTTCAAAAGTGACTTAAAACGATTTTTACACCTCATATTTCCCATAAACACATGTCAAAAAGGCTTTCAAAAGCTCAACTGAGATGAAGATCTCTGTAAACTAGAGTCCTGTCGGCATTTGAGTCTCCTTCTGCGATTACGATGTTAGGGAATTCTGAGAAATCTAGAGCAGCGAGTCTCTGTACCTCTACATTCTAAACAACGCTGTGAAGCAGGCATATGTCCCAGCAGCTTGCTAGCCTTACCCATTCCTCTTTTCTCCAGATACCTAAGAAAGGCACACCCTCATCCACTGATGGGTCCCCACTGAGCAGATTCCAATGACTAACCTTTACTAAGTGTCCATGGGAAGCATATTGCTGCACGTTTAGGAGAAATGAAGACTAGGATCAATGGCTGCCTGGGATATCACTCCTAGAAGGAGATAGAGAACACCTACGTCAGAGGCTGTGTGAGAGTTTCAGGAGTCCTAAGAAACTACCTGGAGAGACAGGAAAGTACTGAACAGGGGAGATGCTGACTGCCCTTGACCTCTCAGTATGCAATCAGATCATAAGCAATAACCCATGTGTCAAGATTTGTCTTCCCTTTGACAAGCTCAAACTTAGCTGCAGTGTTTTCTGGTCTCTTGGATGCGTCTTTTAGATAATTATATAAATGAATTTGTCAGGTGACTGTGTTTTTCTGTCAAAGGGAAAATAGGCTTCCTGACTTGGAAATTCATGACTAAATTATTTATATAATCTAGTTGCTTTTTGGAAGGAGAATAATGTCTGACAGGTCCTCAAAACGTCCACAGAGTAAATCATTTGTGTCTCAGCGGAATGTCTGTCCATCTACCTTTCACGGGACAGTCTGACATCACAGCTGGTGCCGGAGAAGAGATTTTTTAAATGAAATGGGCCTTTTTGATTATTTCAGTTACAAATCTTGGGATCCTTTGTTTTTGATATTATTATATGAAAGTTCAAAATAATTAAACACATTATGTAAAAGCTACTTAAACCAAATTGAGCATTCAAATCATGACAGCCAATATACGAATTTCCTGTTCACCATGTGCAAGCACTGAGACTTTTAGCGCTCTCACATTTGACCCTCACAAAATCATGTTGGGAATTAGTATTGCCATTTTACAGATGGAAAAACTGAGAGTTAGTGAGGTTGAATCATTGCCCAAACAGCTTAGGTTGTGGCTGAGAACTGAGCCCAGGTCTGGCGAGACCATTATCCTCTTGACTGGTCTCCATTTTGAAAGCGGCTCCCTTTGTTATGCGTGTTCCGTCACTGAGGTATTCTCTACTTTGTATTGTTTTATCCTGATAGAAGTGTAAGGAGTGCCAACCGCCTAGTATTTATGCCTTCGTCTTACAAGGGGGGGGTTGGGGATGCATAGGTAAATGGTGTACTGAAAAGGTGTACAGCGTAAAGGACCAGTCATAACTCTTCTTTGTCCAACAGTGTGAGCTTAGCCATGCCTCTCCTGCTCTTGATGATTCATTTTCGTAAATAGAAGGCAAGTGCTCTGAGAACGTGAAAAACTGTCCGTCAAAGACTCCCCCAGGTGTCTCGAGCAGCTTTCTTTTGCATCCAGGCTTCTTCAATCGCTTCCAAGAGCCTCACAGGCTACAGACTCACTCAGCTTCCGGTGGAGCTGAACACAGTTATCAGCTTCAGTTGCAGCTCTTTTCATGCAGCTTAGAGACCCTACTTAGTGGCTAGCATCGCCCCGGTATCTATAGAAACACTCAATCTTCGACCACACTCTTCTTCCCAGGGTCTGTGTCAATGGTGGTGCCAGCTCTGCTTCTAAATTCACTTTATTTAGCTGTGAAAGAGATTTAACACTTATGCGTGGAAAAGAACTGCCACCCACAGAGCGTTTTCTCACTTCTATAATCCAAGGTTTATCATTTATTTTAAATGATTCTAATGAGCATGTGCAAAATAAAAATAACAAGAAAGCCACTGTCATTTTATTTGATGAACAGTTGATATATATTGCAAATATTTGACTCCAATGAAAAAATATCAGTCACATTTCAAAAATTTTGATTCATACTATAGTTAAATATTTCAGATGGAATACTCCTATTGCTTTGTAATGAGAATACCTTATTTGATTTTGGGTGTTTGGGCTGTGAGCTTAACCTTTAGTGGCTGAGCCATCTTTTAAGTCTTGAATTTTGTAAATAAATTTCTGAAGAGGATGATTAGTTCACATATCTTATGTGATTAGATGATTAGAGTCACATATCTTCACAGCTACACCTCCCCCGTTTTCATCAATTGAACATATGGTGTCTTCCATATCACCTAAATAGCATTACTGATTTCTCTTAGTTACTGCCTCTAGGTATAATTTGAATTTTTTCCTTAAAATTAGAAGTTCTTAAAACTCCTGTCAAAAACAAAAAAAAAATATGACTTGTTGAAACGTCTTGCAACAAAATGTGGGCAACATGCCACAGTGCATACACCCAAAACACTTTATTTTCAAAGGGCGCATTTTTTATATTTAAGTCAGAAACTGACTCATGATTATAGAATGAGGCATATTCTGAACAGGATTAAGCAGAATTTGCATACCAGTTTCAATGTATATTTCCATCCAATATGACATTGTAATAAATTAAATTATTCACATGCAAATTCTATTGTTGTAATATACACCTGCACTTTGAAGTTTGGTGAAATGACAGTAGTAATTATTTTAAGTGAAGACCCTGAACAAAGTGGTACTCAACCAATGCAGCGTTTTTCCCCCTGTGGAGACAGAAGTAAATTAATACCCTGTGTTGCACTGTTTTGTCAAATGTACTTTTGGAAAATAGACTCATTTGGACTTTAAGGATGAAGAATTATAATATTTAATTATATTCTTTTCCAAAGTACCCTTATCAGTCAGTGCAGACACTGAGTAGGCGTTCCTCACTCTATACACACAGCCTTTCTGTCAAACATCATAAAACAGTAACCGTCTGCATACATGGATCCATAACACCTACAATTCTGCCTAAGTGTGGTAAACTAACTGCTGTTGGTTCTATTCTATAAGCAAATAACCTGGTTACTTTTTGTAAGCGTATATAAATACGTAAGTGAGTAGAAGGAATGAATTAGTTTCCAGGAGAAATTAAAGCATGGATTCATAGGATCACATGAATACACATACCCACATACATGCTCATACCCCCCTTCCCCCACCACACACACTGATACAGACACAACTCTGTCCTTCTCCTCTAAAGTGGGAAATGGTGTGATGTGAAAGTGGGCTAGCAAATCCAGGTCTGCAGCCACACTTACTTTCACTGCCTGCATTTTCTTGTCCAAAAATCTGCTGTACTTCCCCCTTCTCTAATGTACCAGGCAATGCTCATTGTTTGGGGGAGACGTAGATAGTTTTTAAAAATAAGGTTATTTCCTAATAATGTCTATTTTACTTGTGTGAAAGTAAAAATGTAATCAAAACAGCACCCAAATGATGCTAAAGTAATAATTTGTTTTCTAAATGATTAACGTTTTCCTAAGGAGGAAACCTTTTTATTTCCCTTTTGTGAGACAGGGTCTCACCTTGTAGCCCTGACTGCCTTGGAACTTACTAAGTAGACCAGGCCGGCCTCAAACTCAGAGATCCTCAGGTCTCTGTCTGCTGAGTGCTGGGGTTAAAGGTATGTTTTGCCATGCAAGCAGGAGAAAACAGTTATTAAATTAGTTTTGTTTCTTCTAGAGTATGTAGAGAGTGAATACTAGTCATCAGTTATGTACTTGACAATAAGCCAGCAGAGTTATGCTTCCTGGATTGGGGATCTAGTGTACAAATCTTTCTCCTTTATCAAATGGAAATTATACTTGGACTCACTTTTGATTTGTCTTAGTGATGAAATGAGAAGTTCATGTAAGAGACAGTTTAATGACTGGCATAAATGTTTGATAACTAGAGGATGCATTTTAAGCATACAGCTTGATAATGTTCTTGCAACCAGCTCTGACTTAAAAATGAAACTAATTAGAACTCACTTGAGGAAATCTAAAATTTATTTAGCAATAGTGTTAAAATAAAGCTCAAGAATCTTCTGTGTCTTTGGCTTCTTTTACAAAAAAAAATTATGTTTCCAAACCAGTGAAATAATTCAAAATAATTACACATAGAGTTCCAAACTTTTACCACGTTGATAAAAACATCCACTTATGCAATAAATATTGTGTGCTAAACACTGCCAAGAGCCTCTTCTACATGAACTCATTCGATACCTACAGACCTGTTAGCTCATATTCATTGAGTTTTTGAGCTTAGATCGTGACTAGCAAGGAGTGGAGTCAGGAGATGAAGTTCTGTCCAACGAACCTTCCTGCTATGCATCATGAGGATGTTGCCAAAGACCCAGATTTCCTTTCACACTCAGTTTGACTTAGATGGCAAATCTATTTGCCTTGCAGCTTAGCCAGTGGATTGTGAAGTTTGCTCTCTAAGTTCTGCTCCAGGGAGTGCTGTGCCCCTCATCTTTGAGTCTATGAACATCTTTAATGTTAGATCTTCTAGCTCCAACACCTTCAGAAGATTGTATCCACATCCTAAAAATTACTGAAAACCAGTTCATTCACCAAATAAGAGTATTTTTATAGTTTTATCTCCAGAAATAAGAATTATAAAAATATGACTGTTTAATTTTGCTCATTTTCCAAATTCAAAATTAGACTTCAAATGTTTTCAAGGTGTCCAAAGGTGAGGTTAAAAATCTATAGTCTGCCCTCCATGGGAAGTAGCCCACTCATGGCTGAGCTCTGGCTTGTCTTGAACACCAAGCATGGCAAAGTCTACCTTTATGCCCTTCACCAAATACAATTTTGATGCATATCCATGCACACAGAGGCACATGTGCATATACATACAGAGTACTCACTATCAAAGACATTAAACTTAGTACCATAACCTTATTGAAGTAATCTGTAATG